CGCGCAAATTGAGCCAGTCAAATTTCCCACTTGTCAAGGTTCAAACGGAGCAATTGGAGCTACGCATCACAACCAAAAACGCCAAACGAGGTTGAGAAGGTATTGAAGGAAATTCAATTCTCTGAAACTTTTAAACAAAACGTGTCCTTATTATCGAACGAAGACAAGCACGCTGTGGCTCCCAGCAACCCAGCAGCATGTGAAACACATGGGCGGTTAGGTTCCAGAATCTATCGCCCTAAGACCTAAGATTGAAGAACGGGTCTGTTGAACAATGAGAAACCCAACCCAACCCTAAAGTAACTGGTGCGATGGGGTTGCGCGGTGGTAGGGTGCCAAAACTGACTTTAAAGTAAAAGATATGACTTGGACTTTGGACCTGCCTGGTTTTCTTCAACGACTGTCTTGGGTCTTGGCCCTTGGCGTCGCAAGTGCGAGCTACTCGTTGGCTTTAATTGTGCGGAATCATGCAAATGATTCTTCTCGCAACCTCAGTTCTTCATGTTGGACGGCTGAAGTATTCCCATCCCATGCTTGTTGTTACTTTTCTATGTCTATGTCTAATGTCTTGTCATGTAAACTAAGCGCTCAAAGTGCGGCCTGAGTCAATGAGTCTTTTGGCCTCAGTGCCATCAAGGCAAATGATTTTTATGTTTCGATAACGCAAGAAGGCTTGCCAAGCCTTCTACTGAGTTATGTATGTGCAAGGTTCTGATGGCAGCGGAGCCGGATAGCGGAGCAGGGTGTTGCCCTTTACCAACTAGTAACTAGTAACTAGTAATGCTAGCTAGCTGCTAGCTGCAATCTTTTGATATATTTTTTTGCAACTTTGATTTTCAATCTCGATTCTCGACTTCTAACTTCTATTCGATTCTAATTCTATTAGGAATTTCTGTTCAATGGATTCAATCAATGGGTCCTTGCGAATTTATTTTGTTGCAATTTGAAATCCAATTTATATTTTCACAATTTTCCATCTTTGTCTTCGTCACTTAGTCTTAGTCTGGCCTTGTAACTTGTAGTGAATTTCAACTTTCAGTAATTATTGTTCGTATTAAAAAATATCAAACGTTCTTTGGATTTGTTACGTTTGGCTTGCTCGCTTGTGAACTTCAGCTGGTATTTGGACTTGAAAATAACCGGCTTCCGTTTTGAGTTTGACAGTTTTCAACTTTCATGTGGACTTTTGGGTGAACTTTCAAGTCTAATGTTTGTTTGATTTTTCACTTTTCAATAGTTTAACTCCAGTTTCGACAGCTTGGAAGGCCTTTAACTTCAATGTGGACTTTTCCTTTCTCTTCGACGTTAATTTAAACTCTTCGCATCAATTTCACATTTCAACTTAAATTCGACTTTGTTTGGTAATTTAACTTGGACTTGCAACTATTTTCAATCTTGATTTGGCCTAGATTTGGCAATTTCGATTTTAAACTAAACTTTTTTGTGAATATTAATTCTATTTTAGCATTTTTTAGCGATTTCAGTTTAATTTCGAACTTATTTTGCAAATTCAACTTGAACTTATACATTATTTGGTGCTCTCAACTTTAATTTGGACTCTTTGAATCAGTTTCAATTTTAATTTGGATTCTAGTTGGCAATTTCAAGTGTAACTTGGACTTTGCAATCATAATTTGGACTATATCTGGCAATTTCAACTTTAATTTGGACTTCTTGATGAATTTCGACTTTTATTTGGACTTCTTGATG